AGTCTCACTTTGTCACACTGGCTGGAGTGTAGTGGCGCGATCACAGCTCACTGCAGCCTTGCCCTCCCAAGGTTCAAGTGATCCTACTGCCACAGCTGCCCAGATAGCTGGGACTAAAGGCATGCAACACCACTTGCAGCTAATTTTTTGGTATTTTTTTGTAGAGATGGGGTTTCGCCATGTTGCCCAGGTTGGTTTCTTTTTTTTTTTTCTTGCTCTGTTGCCAGCCGCCAGGCTAGAGTGCAGTGGTGCGGTTCTGGCTCACTGCAACCTCCACCTCCTTGGTTCAAGCAGTTCTCCTGATGCAACCTCTCGAGTAGCTGGGACCACAGGTGCATGCCACCATGCCCAGCTAATTTTTGTATTTTAGTAGAGACGGGGTTTCACCATGTTGGTTAGGATGGTCTTGATCTCTTGATCTTGTGATCCGCCCACCTTGGCCTCCCAAAGTGCTGGGATTACAGGGGTGAGCCACTGCACCCAGGCCGTCCAGGCTGGTTTCAAACTCCTGAGCTCAAGCAATCCACCTTCCTCGGCCTCCCAAAGTGCTGGGAACAGGTGTGAGTCACCACACCTAGTCAAGAAGGGGAAATGTGAGCATAAGCTAAATATTAGGTGATAGTAGGAATTATTGTTAGTTAGGTGGGATGAAAGTATTGGGGCTTACCTGAACAAAAACTAGGATGAACTAAACCAGGCGTCCCCAAACTACGGCCCGCGGGCCGCATGCGGCCCCCTGAGGCCATTTATCCGGCCCCCCACCACACTTCAGGAAGGGGCACCTCTTTCATTGGTGGTCAGTGAGAGGAGCACAATACGTGGCGGCCCTCCAACGGTCTGAGGAACAGTGAACTGGCCCCCTGTGTAAAAAGTTTGGGGATGCCTGAACTAAGGTATCTACCATGATTATATTTGTAATCTGGTTAGTTAATAAACAGTTGACTGCCTTTTTTTTTTTTTTTTTGAGACAAGCTCTTGTTCTGTTGTCCAGGTTGCAGTGTAGTAGCATGATCTTGGCTGGTTTACTGTAGCCTCAATCTCCAGGCTCAAGTGATCTTCCCCCTAAGCCTCCCAAGTATCTGGGACTATAGGCCTATGCCACCATGCCCAGCTAATTTTTAAACTTTTTAGTAGAGACAAGAGTCTCATTATATTGCCCAGGCTAGTCTTGAACTCCTGGACTCAGGCGATCCTTCTGCCTCAGCCTCTCAAAAGTGCTGAGATTATATGAATGAGCCACTGAACCTGGCTTCATTGCTTTCAAATTGGGGTAAAAAAAGTATTGCAGTTATGATTTAACAAATTCTGTTTGTCAGTAATGTGTGGAAGGTATTAACAGATGAGATGGGATTAAATGTATGGGATTTGTTTAATCAGGAAGGGATGATGAAGTAAGATGGACTATATTATTATTGAAGTTGTGTAATGAACATATTAGGGTTTATTTCATACTATTCTACTTTTTAGCATTTAAAACACTTTATAGGGCTGGGTGCAGTGACTTACACCTGTATTCCCCGTACTTTGGGAGGCCAAGGCAGGAGGATCCCTAAGCCCAGGAGTTTAAGACCCTCCTAAGGAACATAGAGAGACCCCCATCTCTGCAAGAAATTTTAAAAATTAGCCAGGCGTAGTGGTGCATACTTGTGGTCCCAGTTTGGAGGCTAAGGTGGTAGGATCACTTGAGCCTGGGAGATTGAGGCTGTAATGAGCTGTGATCACACCACTGCACTCTGGCCTGGGTGACAGAGCAAAACCCTATATCAAAAGAAATTTTTTGGGCTGGGCGTGGGGGCCCATGCCTGTAATCCAAGCACTTTGGAGGCCAAGGCGGGAGGATCACCTGAGGTCGGGAGTTCAAGACCAGCCTGACCAACATGGTGAAACCCTGTCTTTAAAAATTAAAATAAAATAAAAAAGAAAATTTTTTTGTTGTTAAAAAGTGGGGATACCAAACAGGGTGGGAATTTAATTTATAAGACCATATTATTAATATATATATTTTGAGATGGAGTCTCACTCTGTCACCCATGCTGGAGTGCAGTGGCACGATCTTGGCTCACTACAACCTCCATCTCCTGGGTTCAAGTGTTTCTTATGCCCCAGCCCCATGAATGGCTGGGATAACAAGCATGTACCACCACACCCAGATAATTTTTGTATTTTTAATAAAGACGGGGTTTCACTATGTTGACCAGGCTTGTCTTGAACTCCTGACCTCCAGTGATCCACCAGCTTTGGCCTTCCAAAGTGTTGGGATTACACCATTTCCAGCCTGTAAGGCCATATTAAATCATGTTTTTAAGTATATAAAAGCAGTGTCACAAAGAATTCTTTCTCTGCAGTGTACATACTTTTGTATAAGTGTCTAATACATATTTACATGCCTATCCAGTTAGACCTAACTTACAAATGGTTTATTCACTTATTTGGCAACTGTTTCTTGGTCATTTACCATGCAAAAGTAATGTTACTGCAGAGGTGCTTAATTTTCTGTCTCTGCCTGTCCAGCTTAAAACTCTCCTATAATCATTGGCCAACTTATGTGTCCTCTGAAAACATGAGGAGGAGCTTTTAACTCAGACTTTGGAATTTGGGAAAGGTTCTTAGAGAAGAGTGACATGTGAACTATTGTAAAGGATAACCAGTCAGAGGGATAGGCATGGAAGTGGAATGGGATGGGAGAGAGATGTCCTGGCAGAGGACATAAGCTCTAAATGGAATGTGGATGAATTGGGGAAAGGAAAAGTACTTCAGAATACTTCAGAATACCTGGAGCAACCGGTACATAAGAGAGTGGTGGAGAAAAGCTGGCAAGGTAAGGAAAGGCCAGATTACAATGGGTCTTGTGCCAAGTAAGAGTTTAAACTTATCCTGAAAGCTGTGGAACGTTTTTCAAACTACTTCTTTTTTTTTTTTTTTTTTTTTTTTTTTTTTTAAAGTTGTAGAGATGGAGTCTCAGCTTCTTGCTCAGGTTGGTCTTGAACTCCTGGCTCAAGTCATCCTCCTGCCTCAGCCTCCCAAAGTGCTGGGATTACAGGTGTGAGCCACTGAGCCCAGCCATTTCTCAAACTTTTGAATAGTAGAGTGACAGGAGGATAGACAGAACATTCTCTTAAGAAGCTTGGCTATGAAGTGAAGAAACAGCTAATAGTGCAAGAAGTTTTTTAATGTGGAAGACTTGAGCATGATTTTATGGTGAGGGAGAGAACACATTCCAGAATTTTCTCACAGCAACAGAATTACAGTGGTGAATTTTCAGGCCAATCCCACAGCTATGTTTCTGTGCCCATATAAACTGCATAACATGTACTACAAATATATAAACATATTTCACATAAACACACTTAAGTCTCATTCGTTATATAGCAATTTATAGATTACTTCAGTTAAAAATAGTACTTTGTTCATTAGATACTTAGCATTGTATATTCAGAAGATTTCATATTGACAGGTCCATTTAAGGTCTTCTATATATACCACTATCTGGAATTTTCTGGACAAAAATGTTAATACTTTTCAAACATCTGTTGTAAAAACAGTATTCCAAAAATATGTATTCCAGGCCGGGCGTGGTGGCTTACGCCTGTAACCCCAGTATTTTGGGAGGCCGAGTCAGGTGGATCACCTGAGATCCGGGGTTTGAAACCAGCCTGGCTAACATGGTGAAACCCTGTCTCTACTAAAAATACAACATTAGCCAGGCATGGTGGTGGGTGCCTGTTATCCCAGATACTCAGGAGGCTGAGGCAGGATAATCACTTGAACCCTTGAGAAGGAAGTTGCAGTGAGCCAGCATCATGGCACTGCATTCCAGCCTGGGAGACACAGCAAGACTCTCTCTCTAAAAAAAAAAAAATGTATTTCTATGGGTATAGGGAAAAGACTAAAATAAAGTGCTATCAAATGTTTTAATTTGGGCCAGGCATGGTGGCCCATGCCTGTAATCCCAGCACTTTAGGAAGCCAAAGCGGGCAGACCACTTAATGTCAGGAGTTTGACACCAGCCCAGACAACATGGGGAATCTCCATCTCTACTAAAAATACAAAAATTCACTGGCTGCGGTAGTGCAGGCCTGTAATCCTAGCTACTCAGGAGGCTGAGGAAGGAGAATCGCTTGAACCTGGGAAGTGGAGGTTGCAGTGAGCTGAGATTACAGCAATGTATTCCAGCCTGGGTGACAGAAAGAGACTCCATCTCAAAAGAAAAGAAAAGAAAAGAAAAAGTTTAAATTCGCTTTATGTGGGTCTTGGGATTATAGTGTTTTCTTCTTTATGCTTTTCTGTGTTTTCCAAATGTTTTACACAGAACACGTGTTACTTTTGTAGTCAGAAAAAGTGTTCTTAATTTTCTAATTTTTAAAATGATTTTTTTTAACCTATTGGGTATTGATATAGTAGGGAAACAACACTCAAATAAGTCAGGGGGCCAGGTGCAGTGGTTCATGCCTGAAATCCTAGCACCTTGGGAGGCTAAGGCAGGAAGATCAGCCTCCCAAGTAGCTGGGACTACAGGCACACACCACACCACCTTCTTTTTTTTTTTCTTTTTTTTTTTTTTTTGGTAGAGATAGGGTTTCACCATGTTGCCCAGGCTAGTTTCAAACTCCTCCACTGATGCAATCTGCTCCTCTGAGCCTCCCAAAGTGTTAGGATTACAGGCGTAAGCCACTGCTCCCAGCCAGCTTTCAATTCTTACCAATCTATAAGTCATGCAACATAAAATCCACATCATCTCCTCCATTGGCTTGCTTTGAAATACACCTTCGATAGCACAATGAAAGTCTTGTGATGTATAAAGTACAAAGTTGTGAATACCAGATAGACAAGTTAATAATTCATACCAGCTTTCCTGGTTGGGGAAGAGTATAATTTAAAGTTGCTGTCAAATAGTAAGTTATTTTAACAAAAGTATCTATTTATGAGGTTTACTAGATTTATTTCAGTTAATTTCTTTTAGTTAATGTGGTTGTTTTTCATGCGTATTATTTTTCCTTTAGGTAGTCAAGCCACACACTCCATTAATAAGGTTTCCTGACAGAAGAGACAATCCTAAACCCAATGGTAAGCTGTACTTTAGATTTCTTTTAAAACTGTGTACATGAATATTTATGAATGAGTATTTTATTATAGGCAATTTTTCTCATTTAAAAATCAGTTAAGACTATTGTAGCTTAGATTAAAATAGTGCCCTATGTAGCATGCAAGTAGAAGTTAACTTATGACCGGGTGCGGTGGCTCACACCTATAAACCCAGCACTTTGGGAGGCCAAAGTGGGCAGATCACCTAGGTCAGGAGTTCAAGACCAGCCTGGCCTATTATAATTCCAAAAGGAATTGAAGATTGACTTGATTTTGAAGGATTTTTCAATCGTTGACACAGGATTGAAGAATGACTTGATTTCAAGAATGACTTGATTATTTGATAATATTTTAAGACTCAGTATTTTGACATCTGAATAATTCCTCTAATAAGGTTTTTTTCTTTTTAATTTCAGTATCAGAAGCTTTGAGATCAGCAGGGCTACCATCTCACTCTTCTGTAATTTCACAACATTCTAAAGGAAGTAAATCACCAGATTTGCTGATGTATCAGGGTCCACCAGACACTGCAGAAATAATAAAAACATTACCTCAGAAATACAGAAGGAAACTTGTGTCTCAAGAAGAAATTGAATTTATCCAAGTATGTTGTTGCTCTATCCCAAGACTATGCAAAATACCATAGCATTTGGGCTTTGGGGACTTCATTTGCTGATTTACATGCTATTCCTATTGTCTTGTCAGAGTGTGGTCAGAGCTAAGACAGGATGATCAGGTAGGCCAAGACTATGAGAAACAAACCATAGTCAAATCCTTCTGTAAATATGTGTGCTATATCAATGTCAATAGATTATTCACATAAAAAACAGCTCTTTGGGCCGGGCGCAGTGGCTCACGCCTGTAATCCCAGCACTTTGGGAGGCCGAGGTGGGTGGATCACGAGGTCAAGAGATCGAGACCATCCTGGTCAACATGGTGAAACCCCGTCTCTACTAAAAATACAAAACATTAGCTGGGCATGGTGGTGCGCGCCTGTAATCCCAGCTACTCAGGAGGCTGAGGCAGGAGAATTGCCTGAACCCAGGAGACAGACGTTGCAGTGAGCCGAGATCGCGCCATTGCACTCCAGCCTGGGTAACAAAAGCAAAACTCCATCTCAAAAAAAAAAAACAAAAAAACAGCTCTTTGGGGTCCTTAATAATTTTTCAGAGTATAAAGAGCTTCTAAGACCAAGAAATTTACGGACAGGTCAACCTCGAGTCCCTTCCAAGTCTGAAATTATGGTTATAGAATTGATATGAGGGCTGGGCACAGTAGCTATGCCTGTAATTCCAGCACTTTGGGAGGCCAGGGTGGGTGGATCACCTGAGGTCAAGAGTTGGAGACCAGCCTGGCCAATGTGTTGAAACCTCATCTCTACTAAAAATACAAAAAATTAGCTGGGTGTGGTGGTGGGCACCTGTAATCCTAGCTACTTGGGAGGCTGTGGCAGGAGAATCACTTTAACCCGGGATACGTAGGTTGCAGTGAGCCAAGATCATACCACTGTACTCTAGCCTGGGTGACGAGCAAAACTTTGGAAACTCTGTCTCAAAAAAAAGGATACAAATACCCAAAAGCTTTTGCAAATTCAAGGCAAAAGCAAAAACCTATATATATATAGGTTTTTTTGTTTGTTTTGAAATGGTGTCTCACTCTGTCCCAGGCTGGAGTGTGCATGGCACGATCTTGGCTCACTGCAACCTCCACCTCCCTGGGGTTCAATCTATCTCCTGCCTCAGCCTCCTGAGTATCTGGGATTACAGGTGTGCACTACCATGTCTGGCTAATTTTTGTATTTTTAGTAGAAACAGGGTTTCACCATGTTGGCCAGGCTGGTCTTGAACTCTTGACCTCATGATCCACCTGCCTCGGGCTCCCAAAGTGCTGGGATTACAGGCATGAGCCACCAAGCCCGGCCTCAAAACTGTTTTTTAAAAACCAAAGATTACTTGCCGAAGAGTGTATAAATTTGTAAAGTGGCCATCAAAACATGTCCTTGGTCAATTTAACATCTAATCTTACTGCTTTATTTTTTCCTTTTCAGCGTGGAGGTCCTGAATAACCGTGGTGGCTACTGTTTGTTATCAGACAATAGAATTGTCTTTACAATAAAGGACTTCCAAAACGACAGACGAGAAACTGTATATTAAACCCTTTAATAAATATTCTGAAAAAAAAAAAAAAAAAAAAAAAAAAAAAAAAGAAATATAGACAATTTAGATGGACACTTGTATCTTCTAATTTATGTATCTTGGTCAGCTTTTCCACAGCTTACGTAATTGTTTATACACTTTATACTTATTAAAGTATACATTTTTAAATGTTAGCCTATTAATTTACTCTTGATTATCAAATATTACCAGTGTTGAACTGTTAAAAGCACACAATGTCTAGTAAACTCTCATAGGATTCCCATAATTTCACTTTTCTTTCTGTTTAGACATGGAAAAATTTATGTCAGAATTGCTGTTTTAGGGACATGATTTTCCTGAAATTGGGGGAGGATCAGTGAAATGATGACTCCATTACTTGTTCTTAATTCTTTCTTCTCTAATTTTTTTTCATTCAGAAGTTTACTGGAGTATAACTGGCTTAATAAGTATATCCTACTCTGAATGATAAAAATATAGTCAAGCTAAAATAGGTGACTATACTATTAAGACAGAAGAGATCATGCAAAAGAGTCTAAAGAAAAAGAGCATAAATAGCATAGGAATAAAGATTTTACTAGAAATTGCAATTTATTATGTTTTGGAGGTGTAAGGAAGTCTTGTTCTTTGGTTTATTTTACTGTTTCGTGATCTTGTATACAAATCCTGATAACCATTAACTTTCTCAAACTTAATGTCTGAAAGCCTCATAAAATCAATGTAAGTATTTACTTTATTAAGCAGTTTATGAAACTTTAATGGGGCCCTCCTGTGCCAACGGTATGTATATTGTGAAGTAAAGCCTCACAAAGCTAAATAAATTCTCTTCCATACCTTTAATAATTTCTAGAATATGCTTTACAAAGTGATCCCTGAGAGTTAAGGGTAGTTCATGAGCAAGAGATAGAATTGTTTTTGAGTATGCTTCTGTATTTACTCAGTTGCCTGTGGGTTTTTACTTATTTCTACTACTCCACAGAGTTGATATACTTCTCTTGTAAATTCTTTGCTGTGGCCTACTGCAAATAAATGTTGTCCAGCAGAAATATGAGATAGGGATTGGGGTTTGATGCTAGCAATAAGCTGTTCTGGTGACTCATTGAAAATACAATTCAGGCTAGGTGCAGTGGCTCACACTTGTAATACCAGCACTTTGTGAGGCCAAGGCAGGTGGATTACCTGAGGTCAGGAGTTGGAGACCAGCCTGGCCAACATGATGAAATCCCATCTCTACTAAAAATACAGAAATTAGTCAGGCATGGTGAAGCACACCTGTAATCTCAGCTACAGGAAGGCTAAGGCCAGAGAATCACTTGAACGCAGGAGGCAGAGGTTGCAGTGAGCTGACATTGCACCATTGCATTCTAGCCTGGTTGACAGAGCGAGATTCCAACTCAAAAAACAAACAAACAAACTAGAAAAAAGAAACACATTATTCGTTTCTTTATTATTTAAAAAATATTTGGGAAAAACACTTTAGAACGACCATTATTCTCTGCTCCTGCCCTGCCGCCATCCCCTTAGTTTACTTATTTCAGCAAAAGGAAACCCAGGGCCATTATTTTGCTTTCAGAAATAAATTCAGATTCAGGTAGTCAAGAGTGCTATGAGTAATACTGTGAGCCAACAATTAGAAATCCTAATACTGAACTGTGAATGTATATCTGAGGGCAATCTTTACTACAACTGCTGCCATGAAAGTCAAAATGAAAAAAATCTGTCACTCTTACAGAATTTGTGAGTATAGGTATGGCAAAAGGCATGGCAGTGGGAATTGCCGTCCCAGGATAAGCTCCCAAGGATAGTATTATAGACTTCTGGTGAGGCTTACAGTCAAATAGCCTGTATTTGCATTTAGAGGTTAGGCACTTAAACATATGTAATCAGCAAATTGCTTAATTTGTTTGAGTTTCTGTTTTTCTTTCCAGTACTACACAGTGTGATAGGCAGGATCAAATTAGTGTGTTATCTATTACTTTGTTAACAAATCAGCACAAAATTAAGTGGCTAAACTCTTAAATAGTTCATGGTTTCTCTGGGTCAGGAATTCAGAAGCAGCTTCATTGGGCAATTCTGACTTAGTGCCTAATGAGCTTGCAATTAGATGCCACTTGAGACTACAGTCTGAAGGCTTGGTTGAGGCTGGCTGATCTACCTCCAAGATGGCTCACTCACATAGCTGACTAGCTGATGCTGGCTGTTGACAGGAGGACTTAGTTTCTCTCCGCATGGTTGTCTGAGTGAATTCATGACATGGCTGGCTTTCACCAGAGCAAATAACCCAAGCATGCGCATCAACAGCATCCTTTTTTGTTCTAGCCTCATAAATCACACTTCAGCTATATTCTATTGGTCACACAGAATGAACAGCCTGTTTCATTGTGGGAGAAGACTACACAACAGTATTAATACCAGAAGGCAAGGCTCATCATGGCCATCTTGGAAGCTGGCTAATACAGATGTGTGGAAGTGCTTTTAAGCTGAAACATGCTATGCAAATGTGTAATGGTATTTTTTTTTCTTTTGGTTCAAAGTGCTCAAATGATACTTTATTTATACAGTATCTCATTGTCTCAGAATATCATCTAAACGCTGTCTTCATTTTCCTATTTTAAATGTCCCAAAATGAGAATTTGCTTGTCAGCAGCATGCTGTAATATACTGATTATCAACTCATATCCCACGGCACATTTGGGGACCTCAAGTCTCACAACAGTATCATCAAATTTAGCTCATTAGCTTATTTCTGCAAGTGAGGTTACATTACTATTAAAGTAATATCTGTCAGAAGAAACTGACAAGTCATGTGACACCAGCATCACTAGGTATGACTTGCCCCAAGAGAGATGGTGTGTTTTCTGCATAGTGTGAGTTTTGCCTAGACCCAAGTAATGACAAAGGACTGAAAGATAATGGCTAATATGTAGTAAACACTTACTGTCAAATATTATTCTAAGGGCTTTACAGGGATTCGGTCATTTAAGCCTTGGAGCAATCCTTTGAGTAGCTCCTATTACAGAAGAAGAAACTGGAAGCAAAGTTAGTAATTTGCCCTAGTTGTATCTAGTGGCTGAATACTGATGGGGCCAGCAGCGAGCCCAGATCATGCCAGTATATTCCAGCCTGAGCGAGAGTGAGACTCTGTCTCAAAACAAACAAAAAGTTGGGGGAGGGGGGTGGAGGAACATTTCCATGTTGACAGTTGCTCTAGCTCAGAACCTTGTAATCATCCACCAGCAGAGCCATCTGGGTTACTGCAATAGTTCTCTAATAGGCCTCGTTTTCTTTGTCCCTCAAAATCTGTAATATAGTCTCCCAACAGCCAGAGTGAAGCGAGTCAGGTCATATCACTTGTCTGCTCCAATCCCTCCCGTGGGTTTTCAGTGATGTCTTTCTTGCACCACCATACTTAAAACCTTCATCCCTGCTTCTGTCCTGCTCTATTATCCTTTATCTGCTTTATTATCTCTACAGCACTTATTACTACGTATCATAACACTTATTTTACTTTTTTGTCTCCTCCCATTGGAAGGCAGGGATCTTTGTTCCCTGCTATCTCAGATTCTACAATGGTGCTTGGCACGTAGAAAACACTCAATATCTACCCGGATGTTTCAGTCAAAAACAACAACAATTAGCTAGGCATGGTGGCGCGCGCCTGTAGTTCCAGCTACTTGGGAGTCTGAGGCAGGAGAATTGCTTGAACACAGAGGGCGGAGGTTGCAGTGAGTCAAGATCGCGCCATTGCATTCCAGCCTGGGTAACAAGAGCGAAACTCCATCTCAAAAAAATAAAAAAATAAAAACAACAACAACAAAAACCAGTATCAGCACCGTAAGAGGGAAAAATGAAAAAGTACTCAGTATATATTTTTGAATAAATGAATTAGTTTGTGATGACAAACTATGATAATCAAGGGGTTGGATACTCATCACAGCTAACAGTTAATTCAGCACTGTCTCAATTAATTGAGCTAATGTCTAAGCTTTTTGCACATTTTATTTAATCCCCACAACCACCTGTGATGTAGTTCATTTTTTCCATTTTACCGAGTAGAAAACTGAGGAGGACCAGAAGCCGATTCCCACAGCACGTTTCAGTTGAGTTGGATTTTGTTTCCCTGGGCCTGCTTCTTCATAAAGGGACTAAACTAAGAATGCTCTTAACCAGCTTGCAAGAACGTGGCACTCGTCTCAGTCATCTGAGATAGCAGGGTTTGGCGTCCATAGCAACCATGGCGCCAGGACGCGCTCGAGCGGAAACAGGTACAGAACCAAACCTTCCACATTCATAGACACCTACCAAATCCCGAACATGGGGACACCGTCTTAGAACGCGGACCAGTCCCTGGTAAGGTAGAAAAAACGGTAACAGAGTGACACAGCAGCCATCGAAGATGCTCGGCTTCAGACACCGACAGTCACGTGACGGGTGGGGCCAGCCAACCGCCCCGGCCTCGCGCGGCTTCCTCCGCCCCCCACGGAAGTGGGGCGGGGATACCAGCGCGACGCACCGCGGTGGGCGGAAGTGGCTGTGGAAGGCTTTAAGGTAGCTTTAAATTGCTGCTGTGCTGGGAGCTCGCCCCTTTCGGCTGGAGTCGGGATCTGCGCCGCCGAATGGCTCTGGACGTGAAGTCTCGGGCGAAGCGCTATGAGAAACTGGACTTCCTTGGAGAGGGACAGGTGAGGCTCTCGGGCGGGACGGGGAGGGCCCGGAGCGGACCGCGCCGCGCCCCTTCACCTTTGCCGGGTTTCCCGTGGAGGCCAGAGGTCCGGCTCGGCTGTTCGGTCTCGTTGGGGGGAACCGCCCAGACGCACTTGCTGCCCCTTCTTTACATCTGGGGGTGAATCCCTGAGCCGCCTCTCCTTGCTGGAGAGCAGCCTGGAGCTGGACGGAGACTGACCCGCCACGTTTCCAGCCGTCGCCAGTCCGCTCAGGAAATCTGGGCTCTTTGCTTCGCGAAATGTAAGAAGACAAACACAGAAGCTCCCACAAAACTTAGGTTATTCCTGTTTTTCTTTCCAGTTTGCCACGGTTTACAAGGCCAGAGATAAGAATACCAACCAAATCGTCGCCATTAAGAAAGTGAGTTATCTTTTATGTTGTTTTTCTTCAAGTCACCTTGAAGATGTCTGTATTATGAATTGACTGATAGCCATTTTATTAGTCTTGACCATACTCTGATAATGAATTACTCATGTCATTTTCAGAGACAAAAGAATTGATGAGTGCTTTGTGTTCCCAAACGGAACCCGTTTTAATTTCAATCGAAATGAAGAGGAAGCTGTATGTTATTTTCACTGCATGAACTTGTATGTTAAGGGGGGAAGTACTGCCTGTCTTTTCGGTCCTCAGAACGATTTGATACCATGATCTTTCCAGGTCACTGTTTCTGCCTCACCTGCATCCACTCAGTGTGCCTTATCTGTGTGTTCTGTGTACAGATTTCACTAGCATTAGCAACATTGATGTGAAGTCTAAAATGAGTTCAGTAGCTTTTTATATTAATTGAAAAGACTTGTGTCATAATTACATAACTCACTTTTGCCTACATTATTTCATTTAACCTTCAAAACAATCTGTAAAGTGGTTAAAAGTAACCCTATTTTATACCTGAGGCACCTGAGGCTGTGAGAGACTAGTGATTTGTCAAAATCACACAGCTAGTAATTGCTGAAGCTAGGATTTAAATTCAGGTGCCCTGATGTTTCTTTGGTTACTGTTGCTACTTTTGAATCCACTTCTTCAAAAACCCTACCTCCTTGGAAGTCATCCTATTTAACATTAATTCTCCCTCTTTTTGGTCATCTTCCAGCCTCCCAGGTACTCTCTTGCATTCACTTAACACCTGACTCTTGTTCTTCTTAGTTACTCCTACCGTCATCATCATCATCATTACTATGATTTGAGATGGAGTTTCGCTCCTGTCACCCAGGCTGGAGTGCAATGGTGCCATCTCGACTCACTGGAACCTCCACCTCCCGGATTCAAGCACATCTACTGCCTCAGCCGTTGGAGTATCTGAGATTACAGGCATCCACCACCATGCCTGGCTAATTTTTGTATTTTTAGTAGCGATGGGGTTTCACCATGTTGGCTAGGCTGATCTCAAACTCCTGACCTCACGTGATCCACCCACCTTGGCTTCCCAAAGTGCTGGGATTACAGGCGTGAACCACTGTGCCTAGCCTATCTTTTTTTTTCTTTAAACTTTTTTTTTACTGATGTCATGTCCTTGTTTTCTGGTTTATGTTTTATGATCCCCTACTACAGCCACTTCCTTGTAAAACCCTTAACTCTCCTGAATCTTTCGTCATCTTTTTTTTAAGGGCGGGGGTGCGGGGAGGTGCCCCAGGCCGAAGTTTTGAAGTGCAATGGCGCAGCCATAGCTCACTGCAGCCGCAAACTCCTGGGCTAAAGTCTCCTCCCACCTCAGCCTCCAAGGTGGCTGGGACTATAGACACATGCCACCAGGCCTGGCTTACTCATCTTGTTAGTTCCGTCTCTTATTCACTATACCGTAGCCACACTGACTTTTCTGTCCCTGTACAAATTAAATTCATTCTAGTCCCAGAATCACAGGATCATTACATTTGGTCTGGCTTCTTGGTTAGTATATTTTCCCTCTAGAACATGGCATAGCTGATTCCTTATCAACCGAGTTTCACTCAAATGTCTCCTCCATAGAGGCCTTCTTTGTTCATTCTGCTAAAACAGGTATGCCTCTCTCCTTCCCTGTGCTTTGCTGTATTTTTGTCATTGATGTGGCAGTTGTCAAAATTTGAAATCCTCCTATCTGAGTTTATTGTCTACAGTATTTAATTCCATTCACATTGTACCTAGGGCTGTGGCTTGTGCATTTGTAGACACTGTTAAAAATGTATTGCCTTTGGGCTGGGCGCGGTGGCTTACATCTGTAATACCAGCACTTTGGGAGGTCAAGTCGGGTGGATCACCTGAGGTCAGGAGTTTGAGACCAGCCGGCCAACATGGTGAAACCCCCATCTCTACTAAAATACAAAAATTAGCCAGGTGTGGTGGCAGGCGCCTGTAATCCCAGCTACTTGGGAGGCTGACGCAGGAGAATCACTTAAACCCAGGAGGCAGAGATTATGGCTGAGATTGCTCAATTGCACTCCAGCCTGGGCGACAAGAATGAGACTCTGTCTCAGAAAAAAAAAGTATTGGCTTTTTATCCCGTGGAAGGATTGGTTGAGGCCAGGAGTTTGAGACCAGCCTGGGCCACACAGAGACCTCATCTCAAAAATAAAAATTAAAAAAAAAAAATTGACTGGTTTCAGCTCTTCACACTGGTGGCATATTGAGCTCTCTAGTTATCGGAATGTCCTTGGAGGTTCTTTGGTTGCTTGCCTTTTTTTTTTTTTTTTTTTTTTTTTGAGACGGGATCTTTATCTGTTGCCCATGCTGGAGCTGGAGTGCAGTGGCATGATCATAGCTCACTGTAACCTTAAACTCCGGGGCTCAAGTAATCCTCCAGCCTCAACCTTACAAAGTGCAGGGATTACAGGTGTGAGCCACTGCATCTGGCCGTTCCTTGTGTTTAGCATAAATCAGGACCTAGAATCCGCACTGTTTCTTTGTAATAGACATTTCTTCTTGAAGGTCACTCATAGTGGAATATTTTATATTTCATTTTTACTTTTTTCAAATAATACATCTGTATGGTTTTAAAAGTCGCATAAAACACCAAGGCTTTTAACATGCCTGACTCCTCTCTATCTGTGGTTTTCACTCCTCAGAGCAACCACTTTAAATTCTTTTAACTATTTTTTCTGGCATTTATCTCCCTTTCTTTTTTATATATATTTTATTTATTTTGTTCCGGAGTCTTGCTCTGTCGCTCAGGCTAGAGTGCAGTGGCATGATTTCGGCTCACTACAACCTCCATCTCCCAGGTTCAAGCGATTTTTCTGCCTCAGCCTCTCAGGTAGCTGGGATTACAGATGCCCACCACCACGCCTGGCTAATTTTTGTATTTTTTAATAGAGACTGGTTTCACCATATTGGTCAGGCTGCTCTCGAACTCCTGACCTCAGGTGATCCACCCACCTCGGCCTCCCAAAGTGCTGCGATTACAGGTGTGAGCCACTGAGCCCAGCCTATTTCCCTTTCTTTACTTTCTTTCTTTCTTTTTTTTTTTTTGGAGACAGGATCTTGCTCTGTCACCCAGGCTGGAGTGCAGTGGAACAGTTGTAGGTCACTGCAGCCTTGAACTCCTTCTAGCAATCTTTCCACCTCCGCCTCCCAAGTAACTGGGATTACAGGCCCGTGCCACTGTACCTAGTTAATTTTTTGTTTTTAGTTTTTTTGTGTAAAGGGGGTCTCTCTCTAGTGCCCTTGATAGGCTATTGGCCTCAAGTGATTTTCCTACCTAGGTCTCCCTAATTGCTGGGGTTACAGTGTGAGTCACTATACCTGGCCTGTTTCTTGAGGTGTTTTCCCTCGCCCCCAGTTTTAGACGTTGTCTATGCTTTGTACTATAAACATTGAAGATTTGGTGCTGCAGACCTTATTCCAACACTCATAATTTCTACTATTCATTTGCTAGCATGTGTTTAATTTTTGTGTGTGTGTGTGTGTGTTGGAGTTTCGCTCTTGTTACCCAGGCTGGAGTGCAATGGTGCAATCTCGGCTCACCGCAACCTCCGCCTCCGGAGTTCAGACAATTCTCCTGCCTCAGCCTCCTGATTAGCTGGGATTACAGGCACGCGCCACCATGCCCAGCTAATTTTTTGTATTTTTAGTAGAGACACGGTTTCACCATGTTAACCAGGATGGTCTCGATCTCCTGACCTCGTGATTCATCCGCCTCGGCCTCCCAAAGTGCTGGGATTACAGACTTGAGCCACCGCGCCCGGCCCCTGAATTTCTTAATGGTTCAATTTTGGTAGGTTGCATGAGTGTCTGGGAATTTATCCATATCTTCTAGATTTTCCAATTTACTGGAATATAGTTGCTCTTGTTACCTAGGCTGGAGTGCAATGGCGCAATCTCAGCTCACCGCAACCTCCTCCTCCTGGGTTCAAGCAATTCTCCTGCCTCAGCCTCCCGAGTAGCTGGGACTACAGGCGCTCACCACCATGCCCAGCTAATTTTTGTATTTTTTTAGTAGAGACGGGGTTTCACCATGTTGACCAGGATAGTCTTGATCTCTTGACCTCGTGATCCACCTGCCTCAGCCTCCCAAAGTGCTAGGATTATAGGCATGAGCCACCACGCCTGGCCTTTTCCTTTTTAATTTTTGTAGAGGTAGGGTCTCACTATGTTGACTAGGCTGTTCTTCAACATGTGGGCTCAAGTGATCTTCCCACCTTGGCCTTCCAAAGTGCTGAGATTACAGGTATGAGCCACTGTACCCAGCCAGTATCGCATACTTTAGCCCATATTTGGTATATTCTTCTGCAACTTGCTATTTTTTTTTTCTTTGTTTTTGGAGACAGGGTCCCACTGTGTCACACAGGCTGGAGTGCAGTTGCGTGATCTCAGCTCATTGCAGCCTCTGCTTCCCAGGTTTAAGCAGTTCTCCTGCCTCAGCCTCCCAACCACTGACCTCAGGTGATCTGCCTGCCTCAGCCTCCCAAAGTACTAGGATTACAAGTGTGAGCCACCACACCTGGCCTGCAACTTGTTATTCTGAATCAACATTATTTCTGAAATCCTCCATATTTTATGATACATGTATATCCAGTTTATTCATGCTCATTGATGATTAGATTCCATTATATGATTCCACTGAAATTTTCTATCCAAATTCTTGTTGATGAACAGGCTGTTTTTTTAAACATTTTCCCCTAATACATTCCTTCTATGGATAGTCATCTGTGAGTCATCATGTATGCAGTGTTGAGTTTCTCTAGAGAATGTAGCTGTAATTGAAACAAATTATGAATTGTTGCTTCAGAGTATCACAGCCATCAGCTTCACCAGATATAGTCAAATTGCTCTCCAGAATGATTGGACCAGTTTACTGTCCCACCACATTCTCAACATCATTTGCATTGTCAGACTTTAAAACATTTGTCAGTTACATAGATTGAAAATAGTATGTACTTATTGTTTCAATT